TCTGGGGAGATCTGGAGAGATGTGGGGTAATGTTGTAGGCTCGACGATGCCGCGCTGTGCGCCGCCCTCGACGCTGCCGAGAGGGAGGCCGCCTCCTCCTCCTCCTCCACCTCCTCCTCCAGGCAGGCGGCGGGGCAGGCGGCGTCGCAGGCGGCGTTGGAGGCGGGGCAGGCGGGGCAGGCGGCATCGCAGGCGGCGTCGGAGGCGGGGGAGGAGGCGGCGTCGCAGGCGGCGGGGCAGGCGGCGGGGAAGGCGGCGGGGAAGGCAACGGGGCAGGCGGCGTCGCAGGCGGCGTCGGAGGCGGCGTCGGAGGCGATGGCGGAGGCGGCCTCGGGGGGCGGCCCCTATTCGTCGGCGTCTCAAGCGAGCGGCGGCGGCTGCGGCGCGGCGGCGGAGGCTGCTAGCAGCGGCGGAGCGAGCAGCGCGGCCAGCAGCCAGCAGTAGCAGACTGTCCCGGCGTACCGGAAGTACGAGCCAGGTCCGCCTCCCGGGCCTGCGCACCACCACCCGGCCACAGCGGCCGATCACCCTATTTAGAGGACGGCGATTTGTCTGGCTCGATGCGCGCAGCGCGTTCGCGCCCGCGCGGCGTGATACCCCAGGCGTGTCCTCTGGCAGCATATGCCAAACCCCTGCATGATAGATCGTTGTGCGTTGCTGTGTGTGTCCGCCGATGTGTGTTGTGTGAATTAATGCCGAGGCTAGGGAAGGTGTAAAGTGTAAGCTCATGTGATGCATGTTAAGCTCGATATCTTATATTACGCGGCTGGGTTCCTTCACAGGTAGGGCTAGTTCCATTTCACTCTGACACGCTAATCTTGAAAACGTCCAACGGAGCTCCGTGTTGCTCCCAGCGCCCTCCCCCGCGCTTCCTGCGACCCTAGCCGATGGTACTAGCATGGGAGGTCATCTGGCTACCGCGAGAGCGACCCAACTCGTCGACATCGTCCGATGATGGTGCCGCAAAGTCAGCCTTCGGAGGCTATCGTGGGGTCGAGCCGTCAGTAGCCGTGACATGTGGTTCCACCACCCCTCGTAGGCTTTGCCTCTGACCATCACCGTTCCCAGGCTGCCTAATGGGATGGAAAGGAAGGCTGGGCGAGCGTATAGAAGCGTGCTCGACCTCGTCGTGGCAACCTGTACGGCAGCGCTGGCAGGCGCGATGAGCGTCGTGCCACCTGACCCGAGACGGGTCGCAGGCGTCGTACCGAGCGCGTCGAGACCGTGTCCTGATGTGATCTGTACGGGCGAGTCACGTCGGCGTCAAAGGAGCGACGTGTGACCTGTCAGAGCTTGATCTCCGATCTCAGCGGCGTCGAGTCGTCTCCGGTGCGCAACAAATGTACCTCCCCAGGACGCGCAGAGGCAGCTGCGACCCCGCCGAGTGGACGGGCGCACACCGGGCCAGCTGCTGTGTGCGCCCGTCTACTCGGCGGGGTCGCAGCTGAGTCTGGAAGGCACCGAGAGGTACAATAGTGCGCAAATGGTCAAAATCAAGGTTTTGTAACGCGAGCTGTGCCACAGTGAAATGGAACTAGCCTAGGAAACAGCACTTGGAGCACTTGCGGCGAGCGCCGGAGGGAAGCGACGACAGCGAGGGGACGAGGACGGCGAGCAGAGAGGAGAACAGACGGCGAGCGGCGCACGCGAGGGCGACCACGCAGGAGAAAACAGACGGGACGAGGGGAAGGAAACGCGGCCCGCCAGGAAGCGAAGGCAGACGGCAAGATACGTCGCCGGACCAGCGACAGGAAGCGCAGGAAAACAAAGAGAACAAGACCATGAGCATGGAGACGAGGGAAGGCGCGAGGCGCTCCGCCGACAAGCAGCAGAGGCGGCGGCGAAAGTAACGACGGCCATGCTAACGACGGGCGGCACGGTGGAAGGGGCGAAGGTAGGCCCCTCTAGCATAGCGGAAGGGGAACTCGGCCTACTGGCGACGAGGAGGCTAGAGAAATTTGAGGTGTGTAGCATCTACACTGGGGAGATCTTCCGGACAGGAACGGCGCAGCCACCAGAGACAGTACCAGACGAACTATCACGACACACGGCAGCAGGGGGGACGCAGCTGGATGGAAGTGACGACGAGAGCGGGGACGACTTTGACAGCGTCGCGGCGCGGTGTAACTTCGACTGGCCTGCAGCATCGAATGAGCCGAAACGAGGCACGAGGGCGACGCACTTCGTACGCTACGAGGAGATACAATTAGGCAAGGCAGCTGCGCAGGTGATGGTCCTGTTTGCAGAGAGGGGAGTCAAGGAAGGCCAAGAAATCACATGGTCATATGGGGACTCATACAGGAGCCACCGCAAGAAGATGGGATACAGGGCGGGGACCAGGGCGGATCCGAACGCAATAACACCCCAGCAAGCGCGGACGGCATTCGCGAGATACTGCAAAAAGATAGACGTGACGAAGGAGGAGCTAGCGTGGAACTTTGGATGCATATCGGCAAGCCAAAATAACGAGCAGGAGGCTGTCCTGGTGCGTGAGCTAATCCTGAGCAACAATAAGCGACTGTACCACGGAGCACAGAGCGCAGCAGACAGGACGGCAGCGACGGCGGACATGGCAGAGACGAGTGTGAAACAAAGGGCGGCGGGCATGGAGGGCAGTAGCGACGGGGATGGAGACGGTGACGGTGGCGAGGGAGAGGAAGGGGGTCCATTAACACCAGACAGCGAGAGGGGCAGGGAGGAAAGGGGGAGAGAGGAAGCCAACGCGACGTGCGCAGAGGATGAGGATATAAACTGGGACGACGCAGCGGAGGGGATAGGCGAGGGAATCGAAGGACCGGAGGGCTTTCGCGACAGCGACGATGACGACGAAGAAAGGGGAGGGGACGGAGGGGCGACACGCAGGAGGAGCGAAATCGCTAACGGCCCGAGCAGAGAGGGCGACGGCGGGGCACGAGGGAACAACGGAGACGCTACCAATGACGCGAACCGAGGCACGGACGCCGGCGGGGACGGGGAGGGCGACAGCGACGTCGAGGTTGACGCAACCGTATCGAGAGCGCCACCCAAAAAGGGGCGGACAGCCATGGAGGTCACCGAATGGAGGGCGAACGGCACGATGCGAAAAGGCAGGGCGAGGCGGATGGAGAAAGAAGTGCCGAGAAGGCCATGGTGGAGGGGAGGGACGGGAGGACGAAAGAAGGGCGAGGAGGACGAGCGGCCCGCACAGACCGCGAGCAGACAGCGCCTGCTGGCCATTTCGAGACATTCGCCAAGAACGCTAGCTACATGGGAGGGCTTCGTGAAGGATGGATTGAAAAACATTCGAACAAAGAAGAGGCGACGGGAGGAACCGGCGGAGGATGCAGTGACGTGACACACACACACACACACACACACACACACACACACACACACACACACACACACACACACACACACACACACACACACACACACACACACACACACACACACACACACACACACACACACACACACCGCTCACCCACGCGCACTGGGCCTTGCACTTTGAATGCCGTGGGGCTCCTGTCGTCAGACGTGGAGACGCGAGGGTTGCCCCCCCTTGCCCCACCACCTCGTGTGTGTGGAGAAGTTTACCTTACCTTACCTTACCTTACCCTTAGAGGCCACCATAAGGGACCCCATTGCCCGTTTGCCACCAGACTTTTTTTGAGTTGGAGGTAATAACTAAATGGATTGCACTCTCCCAAAGAACTGATGCATTCATAGTGCCTTCACATAGTTACAATACCTCAAAGTTGAAAAACTCCAAAATAGGCCGTCAGGACTCTGTCAGGACTCTGTCAGGACTCTGTCAGGACTCCGTCAGGACTCTGTCAGGACTCCGTCAGGACTCCGCCAGGACAACCACTGTCCCCCCGCTGTGAATAGAGCCCTTAGCTAGAGAGTAGGGAGGGGTGTACAGTCGAGTTACTCCCGAGGGCAGGGACGGCCCTCCACTGAGGGAAAGGGCGCACGGGGACGGTATCGACCCAGCCACGCAGCTCTTTCCTCGCGTACAGCCAACGAGTTTGCTGGTCCACAGGCAGGCCAGGCCGTGAGCGTGGGCCGGTCAGGCCTGATCCTGCGGTGAGCACTGGAGGGCTATGCGGCTCGCTCCGTCAGCCGACTTGCGCTGTCGAGCGGTCGAGCGCTTCGGGTTGGACCCGCGGGAGGGTCCCTGCGCGGCTGACATGGCCAGCCAAGCCGTGTGCGCTGCCGTGGGTGCTGCCGTGGGTGCTGCTGTGGGCGCTGCCGTGGGCGCTGCCGTGGGCGCTGCCTCGGTCAGCAGTCGGTCAGCCTGCAGGCCGCTGCTCGGCGCTGGCCTGCAGGCCGCCGGTGGCAAATCGGGGGCGCGCGGGCCATGGACGTCGTGGCCGAGCTTTGCTGCCTATGCACGTTGCCGGCTGTAACGTTGCCTGCACCATGGCCGCGCCTCTCTTGCTTGTGCGCTTTTCATGGTCGGCCGAGTGGCGCGAGACCCAGCGTGATTTCTTTTGTCTGTAAGGACTCTAAGTTTCTGTAAGGACTCTCAAGTTTCTGTCAGGACTCTCAAGTTTGCTTGTCAGGACTCTCAAGTTTGCGTCAGGACTGCCCCATCAGGACGATTCCGCAGAGGGCGCGCACGGTCGAAAGGGGGGCTGGGCGTCTATCATTCACTGCTGGGGGGAGGGGAAGGAGGGTTGCAGTGAAGGAAGGTGGAAGTCTCTTCGGAGGCACTTGTGAGCACTGTGAAGACCGTGCGCCGTCAGGACCCCGCCAGGACTCTGTCAGGACTCTGTCAGGACTCTGTCAGGACTCTGTCAGGACTCTGTCAGGACTCTGTCAGGACTGTCAGGACAGTTGCGGGAGTTCCACAAACCAGGTTTGCCGTTCTTAACGGAGTCGCTTAGGCGGCTCCGGTGGTGAGCCGGTGTGTGTGCCAGTCCGCGCCAGTCCGCGCCCTTGTCGTGCCAGTGTGCTGTGAGAGAGGCTTCCTTGTCATAATTCTTTTTTGAGCGCGTCTCGTGTCATAAATGGGCGGTCAGCGTTGCCAATGGACTCACCTCGCTTGGACGCGTCTCGAGGCTGACGCGCCTCGAAGGCGCGAGAGTTGCGCGGCGTCTGTGGCAAAGCCTCCTCCGCCATATCGCTCCCACCCAGTCTGCAGTCGAGCACTCCTCGTCGTCTGCGCTGCCGTCCTGCTCGTCCTGCAGGCCGTCGTCGGCTGCCGAGCGATCAGGAGGGAGCCTCGTCGGCCGACGCCTGCCGAGTCGTGCAGCTGGCGAGTCCCGCGCTACCGGCTCGACGGTGGCCGGCTCGCCTCGCCACGATACCAACACACGGAAGCGCTCATGCATATGCCGGCCGCGCTCCGTCTGCCGCGGCTCGAGGACTGCCGCGCCGACCTCGTGGGCGACGCGAGCTTTTGGGTGGCGAGCATGTGCACCTCCTCATACGGCTTCGAGGCCCGCCGCTTGGAGGCGAGCTGCGAAGCGTGGGGAGTGTGCTGTGGGGTGGCGCGAGTGGCTGAGGACGCCGCCTCCGAGATCGCCGGCGGCGCCACCGTCGACTCGCGCACGCGGCGCTTGCGCCTGATCGCGAGCAAGCCGCTCTTCATCCTTCGCACGCTGCAGGCCTCACCGCTGCCCGTCGCGTGGCTCGATGTCGACCTCGAGTCACCGCACTAGATGCCGGATCAGGAGTGGATTCCATTGCTCTAGCTCCTGTCACAGCCTCACGCGCCTGCGCTGGCATATAGGTTCACCGCTTTCCCGCTCCAATTCACGCCGGCGGGCTGGCGCGGCTTCGGGGCGCCGCGCGACGTCGTGCTCCTCAACTACGACGCCAACCGCACGCACTCATCCTGCCGTGAGGCGACCGGCACCGCCTGCTGCCGCCACCACGCTGCGCACGGCCGGCAGCTGCTCTGCTCGTCCGCCGTCGCCTACTTCAACAAGAGCGCCGCGGCCGAGGCGCTACTCACTGCGTGGGCGGAGGCCATGGCGTACAACACCAACGCGGCCGACGACAGGACGCTCGATTTGCTCGTCAACGACGACGGGTGGATCGACCGGGCGGCCTTCGGCTGGCTGCCAGCGTCCTACTTGCGTGGCGCAAAGTCCAGCACCGCCGAGGTTACGTCGGGTGATTGTCTCCATCCGCGGTGATTGCCACCCTGGACCTTTCCTGAGACATTTCTCGGAGCTTTTGTCTAGGCGCCGTGATCAAGCACGACGGTGGGATCCCGGCCAGCAGCGAGCGGAACAGCGCTGTCGTGCCTAAGTTGCCACCGCACGAAGGAGAGGAAGCGGCGCGGGGCAACGAGCAGCTTGCGCTGGAAGCAGTCGAACCCGAGGCGATGACCATCGGCCCCATCCAGCGGTGGCTCGCTCCGGAGGGCGCAGCCGCTGCGCTGGACCCGGAGGCGGCTGGACTGCACTCGATGAGGACACAGCAAAGTGGCCCCCAAACCAAGTCATTCGTTGATGGATCAGGCGCTGAGGCTCGGCGAGCGGGAAGCCTCGGACCTGATTGCGGGCGAGCACGACGTCGAGGTGGAGCTGGAAGGCGCGTTGGGGGGTGGAGCGGCGGGCGACGAGGCGGACGGGCCAGGGGGCGGCGGTTCGGCCTCCTCCTCGGAGCTGCGTCAGCTCTACCGCGGTCGCAAGTTCCTCTTCCCGCTCCTCGACCAGGGGCCAAACAACCAGTGCGAGCAACCCGAGACTGCCCGATTGCTTCTCGACTTGCAGCTCGCTTCACGGCGAGTGACCTTGTGTGAGCGTCCACGGTTTTACCACCCACCCGTGCGCAGGTACTTGCAGTTCCGCGTCGCCATCGCTAAAGCCCGCGCCCTCAACCGGACCCTCGTCCTCCCTCTCTGGCTGCCGCACAACCCAAAGTTCCTCCACCTCCACCCCGGCGCGCGACCCCCGCCGCCTCAGCCGCTCTAAACCGGCGACAGTTTGCGACCCTTCCGTGAAGCTTCTCGGACCCCTCTCTCTCTCGCAGGCGCGCCCCCAGAGCCGTCGCGGGACCGCGCCACCGCGCTGCTCTCCTTCCCGTTCGCGTCCACCTTCGACGCGAGTCACCTCGCAAAGTCCGCCCTGTGCATAGCTTGCGCACGTTCACACTCCGCCCCCCGCCGTGCACACCCGGTCTCGCCACACAGCCGTCCAGCCCCCCGTGCGGACTCGGAACAGGTTCGTGCGCACCATCGACCTCCCCGCCTTCCGCACGCTCTCCGACGGCCACCGCGCGACCTCGTCCCCTCGCCCAGGGCCCACCTCCACCCGCGTGAACCTTCTCGGAACCTTCCTGCAGGCCGGCTCGACCTCTGCCTCTCCGTCGGCTCGTCACATGACGACGATAGCGGCTCCGCGCCGCCGCCTCTCCGGGCGCTCCTCCCTCGGAACCTTCTCTGAACCTGCTCGGAACCTGCTTCACGCAGGCTTCCGCGACTACCTCCGCCTCTCCGCCCTCTCGTGCTCCCGATTCGCAACCGTCGACAAGCCTGACGAGGGGCGCGAGCGGGCGGCGGCCGCGCACGCTCGGAGCTTCGGTCAGAGCAGCATCCTCACCGCGGCGCCGGGCGCGGAGTGCCCTCATGCCCAGAGACCGTCCCTGGAGCCCTCTCCTCTCCAGGCTATCACTCGTACGACCGCGACGTCGGCCTGCGCGACCGCGTCTTCTCCCCGCTGCGCTGGTCGGGGGCGGTGCTGTCGGCGGCAGAGCGCGTCGCCTCTCAGCTCAACTTGACGCGAGGCGACTACGTGGCGGCGCTCATCCGCGTTGGACAGTGAGAAGGAGAGACTAATGACAGTTTATATCATAGTCAGCATATTACTAATAATAGGCGCACATCCGTGTCGCGGACGCGCACTGGGAGCACTCGGAGACCAGCGCCAGAAGTTTACCTTACCCTTACCTTAGACCAGCGCCGCCACTCCACGGGCACGCCGAGGCGAGGACGGCGCCTCTTCACGCCTCTCTCGCTGCGGAATAGGACTGCGGACACTCGATCCGCGGCGTGCCGGCGGGCCGCCCCCGGTGCGGCGACGGTCTTGCTGTGAACGACGCCTCTTCACACGCAGCGCCCGCCGTGAACAGGTGCGGTCCGTCTCGTGCGGCGACGGCCTCCATGCCATCAACTCCAGCTCCATAGCGCAGGAGGTGTGCGTGCGCCGCTCGCTCACCCCCTTGAGCGCTCACAACCCCGGCTGCTGCGGCTCCCGGGTGAGGCGCAGAGAGTCGTCCCGTGACGCAGGGCTGGTGAGAGACCCGCCCGCCGCCCGCCCCCCCCCCCCCTGCAGGTGTGGCACGCGATGCGCCTCGCCGAGCGGCGCACTCTCTACGTCGCCACAAACATGGAGCTCCTCTTGCGACCAACGCTGGCCGCACCTCGGCTGTGCATCTCGGCCATGATCTCGGATGCGTCTCGCCTACAGGACTGCTCCGACATGCGGCTGGCGGTGGTCGCTCGCATGCTCTCCACCCGCGCCGTGCGGACGGTCTGCGCCAAGGAGGCGCTCTGGGAGGCGCTGGCGGTGGCGGGGCAGGCGGACGGCGGCGCGACGCCCGCGGCAGAGGTGCAGCGGAACTACTTTGCGTCGCTCGTCGAGCAGGAGGTGGCGGCGCGGGCGCCGCACCTCTGTCGGATCACGGCACGCGCGGCGTGTGTTCGCTCTGATTCATGCGGACTCATCTCCAATCAGGCGCACACCTTTGTCGGCTCAAAGTACTCCACGTGGACGGACACCGTGCGCGGGATGAGGCTGGCAGCGGGCAAGCCAGCGTCGGCACACCATCTGTTCGAGGAGCTGTGGGCTCTGGGAGTGAAGTGACAGGGCTGCTAGCTACATACCCAGGTACGGCTTTTATCTGCATCTGTGTCCGCATCCACCATCTTAAATCCTGTCTCTTAGGCTGAACAAGCTTTTCCTCTCGCACCCCGTCTCTTTTCCTTTCCTTTTTTCTCTACAGCACCCTCTCTTTTCCTCTCTATTTAGTATTTTCCCGGGAAAACTCCGGGGAACCCATCAAATTTTCCGGGCTCTGAGCCGAGTCTGAGGCTGGTTTGCGGTTTGGGCCCAGAAACCAAAATCAGCCAAATCGGCAAAATACCGGGTATTTTGCGGGTATACCTGGAAAACCCCGGGTATACCTGGAAAATACCCTGCGACCGCCTGGGTATCGTGCCGATTTCCTCAATTTTGCGTCAGATTTTGCCCCAGACCAGCTCTCAGACTCAGGGAAACTCGCGAGTTTCCAGAATGGAGCACCAAACACTCTCTGTTTTCCCTGGAAATTTCCGGAAACGCAAAGTGCTGGGGACCCTCTGTTTTCCTTTTAGCTTTTTGTTTGCCGGAAAAGCTTGTGCAGGCCAACCTGTCTCCCGGCTGAAAAAAAGGGGCTGTTCCTTAGGGCTGAGACTGATGGCGTACATGAACATCCTCGGTGGCCAATGCGACGATGACGCTGCGGCGGGCGACCTGGGTCGGGCGGCGGCGAACGTGGTTGCACTCAAGTCTCAAGACACAATGCGGCATAGGATGGCCAACGTCTGGATGGACGAGGTGCTGACCGACCTAGACGGCGCGATGAGGGAGCTCGCCGCCTTCCTCGTCAACGCGTTCGACCGGCGCGACGACGAGGGCAGTGATGCGCACGGACCTACATTGGTACAGCAGCTCCGCGCGGCGCTCGTCGATGCGGAGACGACACGCTTTGAAGCAAAAGCCGGCGGCGCGCACATCACGAGCAGTAACAGCACGGCAGCTAAGGACCGCAAGGCGCGGCTAGTCGCCAGCCTGCAGGCCGACCTGCTGCTCGGGCCGGTGCATCGGCGGTGGCGGCTCCTCTTCGATCGTTGACGAGCGACCGCGGGGGCGCTCGTGTGCTCGCCGCACGAAGGGTCGCTACATATTTCGCCCACCGTCGCCGGCCTCCCCAGAGAAAACCCCAACAAGGACCTCCAAGTGCTCCAAGGATATCAACCTTAACCCAGAAAGACGAATTTTACAACGAAACGCGCTGCGCGGGAGGAGCGTTGGCAGGGCTGGCGCACATGTTGGCACACCCTGTGCCCGCTCGCGGCGCATTTTACACACCCGCTCGCGGCGGCGCGAGCAGCGAGTACGGCGGAGATATAGCTGGCTCTCACTGGTGGCGGCCGCATCGAATTTATTAAATTCGAAGCAAACGGCGAGGTGCCTCCGGTCGACTCCGGGACGCTGACAGGCGCTGCCGGTTGCTGTCTCTCGCTTCGTTTGCTCGCTCACTCTCGCTCTCCCTCAAACTCGACCGCCAAGCTTCGACTGGTCAGACGAGAGATGGCGCCAGTCATCGTGCACATCCACATTCCAAAGATGGCTGGCTCGACAATCATGAGGGCGTTCCCGCGATGGGCGGGCATCTCATACTGTCCGTGGCAATCGGTGAGATGGCCTTTGCATCCGACGTACGGCAACGAAACCTACTTTTACGAGCTGCTCACTCGGAGCTGTGCTGCTGGTGCGGCGCCCGCGTGCTTCTCCAGCTACGAGGGCGCTTGGGACGACGCTCTCGCGGCCTGCAGGTGGCAGCCCGACGCGCGGCCAATCATGCTCACGCTGCTGCGGAGCCCGATGGCTTGGCTCTACTCGGCGATGAGGTGAAGAGGGCCGCCGACACGTCCGAAAGACACCGCTCGCTCTCCTCGCCACACCGACGCATCGCGTCACAGTCGCGCCTCCCAAATTTCAGGTGGTCCGGGCGCACGCCGGAGAAGCTCGCGAGGGCGGGGAGCTGGAGGACGGCCGACGGCTACGGCTTCGACCGGCCGCTGTGCGCGCTGAGCGGACGGGCGTGGTGCAGCCACCCCGGCTTGGTCGACCCGGGCCGCTCTCGCGCCGAGCTGGTGGAGCACGTCCTGCGCGTGTTCCATGTCCATGACACGTGGGTGACGCGTCTGTGACGCGTCCTGTAGGTGGAGCACATCCTGCGCAATCTCGCGCAGCGGGACACGGCGCCGTGCCTCAGGCAGAGGATCCGTCGCCTGGGACCCGTCCGCAAGCTTGAGCCCGTCGTCGCTCCATATAGGCGTGGGGCCTGGCCGAGCAGCTGCCCGCCTCGTTGCTGCTCATCCTGCGCCAGGTCGGCCTCCGGGAGAGAGCGAAGGTGTACTGCGGCTCCTCGGCGGCGGCGGCGGCGGCGGCGGGCACGAGGCACAAGAGGTACGACGGCAACATCTCCTACCACGTCAGCTACGGCGCGCTGCAATGGCTCGTCGCCCGCATGCAGACGTATCAGGAGGTGTTCTCGCGGGCGGCGGCCCTTTTCCACACGCGAGCGCACGCGGCAACGATGGACGTCTGTGGGAGCGGCGGGCTGCGCTAGCCGTGTGTCACAGGCGTGCGTACAGCAACAGTGCGCCGAACACATCGAAATGGACTGTATATGGACATTCCAAGACTGTTGTTCATCGGACCCCGGATGACCACCCCTTCGTAACAGAGTAAAACTCAAAACGCTGGCCTGCCAGCTGCACGCGCCTGGCCAGTAAGGAACAGCCTGGCGCCTGGGTGCGCTGGGGTGGGTGGCGGAAGAAAAAACATACTACACACGGCAGGAGGGCCGCTCAGGCGGACTCGAGGAAGAAGCCGTCCGCCACCGCCGCCGCCAGCTTGCGCCGCGACTCAGTGTGCTTCAGCAGCGCGAGCGCCACAACGAGATCTGAGACCCACGAGAGCTGATTCAGAAGCAGCACGTACTCCGCCATCACCACGCCCGTGCTGCACACGTCCCGCGCGAAGGAGTCCTCCTCCTCCTCAAAGAGGTCCCCGCAGACGCCAAAAAAGTAGAAGCCGCCGTGCGCCAGGCCGAGCACAACCTGCGTCCACGTCAGGCACGCCGGCAGCCTCGCCTCGGCGGCGTCGCGAAAGGAGCAGGCCGAGACGGCAAAGGCGGCGACCAGCGCCAGAGAGGCGCCAAAGTAGGTGCCGGCGCCGACGCGCTTCACCTCGCCCCAATCGAGCGGCGCAATCAGAGCCGCGGCGAGGCTGACGCCGACCACGACCGACGCGGCGGGCAGGGCGTAGTAGAGCGGCGCGAGACGCGAGCCGCTTCCACCGATCCGCGAGAGCTCCGCGAGATCTCGCGCTAGAAGGAGGAAGGCGGCCGTCGCCGCTGCGCCGATGGTCGCGCACAGGGCGTACGCAACGTTGATCTCGGCGTCGGTCGTGCACTCCATGAATGACGCCGACAGGTCCGACGCCCCGAGGATCGGAGGAACCTTGCGGAATGGGCTGTCGTCCCAGCAGGCTGCCGTGTCGAAGATGATTGGGGCGGCGAGGGCGCCGCCGAGGAGGAGCGGCGTGAGAGAGGTGAATGCAAACAGATAGCCGGCCGCACAGCCGTCGGGCTTTACGCAGCAGCAGCGGAGGAGGCCCTGAACCGCCGAGGCGAGGCAGAGGCCAATCGCGGTGAGGTGTGCAGACCGGTAGATGGAGGTGGCGAGGCTGGCCTGCTCTTCCGTGTAGTAGCTCGACATCTCTGCCGGTAGAGAGGCGAGCCGCCGCAACCTATTTTGGTAAAAAGAATTTTCTTCCACGAATCCCCCCCTCGAAACCGAGTAAAAACAACCACACGCCTCTCCTTAAAATCCCTGTGTGGTGGCGGCGTGCCGTCCTCCCATCCCTCCCCACTTCTTTCTTTTCTTTTAAACAACCGAGTGTCTGTCCCGCAGCACACAGGTTCGACAAACAACAAATTACGTGTGAGTGTTAGAGTTGTTTGGTATTGCTAAAAATCAGGTTCGAGAGACGAGACACCGGAGAGAGAGATTTTTGAAGACCAACAAGAAATCACGACTCTCACAGTGATTTGGGCTCGGCAGCTTGTTAGCCCTCAGCCGAAGCTGGGGCCGGTCCCGTAGCCGAGAGAGCCCGCGCCGATGAGTTCGACGCGGTCGGGGGGCCTTGCGGAGAGGCCAGCGAGATGGCGATCGCTGTACTTCATGGTGTCATCAAGTGACCGGCTGACAAGCCAGAGGTCGATACTCTGGACGACCCATAGGATGCGACACCGTACCGAGGTTGCGGTAGCGGCCAGGGGAGCGCAGTGTGAGGGAGGCATTGAAGTACACCACGTCTGCCTCGCTGAGCTTGTCGACGCGCCATGGGTGCGACGCGAGACTGTGTGAGACCCAGTGGTGAGAGGCGTACTGCGATCGTTTGTGACGCTCGATACCAGGCACCTTGGCCTGCATCACATAGATGCTGCAGCGACTGGCGGAGATGAGTTGGTGCACGCTACTAAAGCCGGCTGGTGGCGGCGGCGCCGGCGGTGGCCTCGCATCGGCGGGTCGACGCCAGCCGCCCGTCGTCCGGTCGGCGGCCAGTGGCGTGCAGCCCACGACGGCAAGGCACAGCGCGATCATAGCATGGATTGTCGCGCGCGCGCCGGCTTGTGCCATGTACCTTGTGTGCGTGTGGCGGCTGCGGCGTCCCTTGCCGCGTGCGGACAACGCGCCCGCCGATGTGTCGCGCAATTTCACGCCTGTGTCTGGAGGCTGGGGGAAGGCTCCCTGGGTCGCTGGGTGCCACGGGCGACGCAGAAACCCGTAGACGGGATGCCCGAGGTCCGTCTAGACAGTAGGAAATCCTAGAGAGTCTCTTATATTTATCGCATATGATAATCGTGGTTTAGCTCACAACCACACACCAGCAGAGTGGCGGGGTACATATTCATATAACATCCCGGTTGTATCATACGAAGACGAATTCAGGCAAACAAAATCGCTCGAATTCAGTGAAAAGTGCGAAAACGAGAACTTGTCAGCCGGTGCCCGTCGAGCGACCCCCCGCGACCGCCGTCTCCGACGCGCTCGCGGCGACGCGCAAACTGAAGGTTTGCAGGCTGTTCGCGTCGGCGCCTCCGAGCAGCAAAGACATCAGCTTGAACTTGTGCTCGCCGGAGGAGGAGCCCTGCGCCACCCGCAGCCGCACAGAGCAGCAGCCCGCCCCTCGCCCCGCAGCCTCCCTTTCCTCGCCCACCCCGCGCCTCGCCGCGCGGAGCACGACCCGCCGCACGTCGGTGACGCTCACGCCGTCCTTGGTGTCGTGCGCGTCGATGAGCGTCGCGAGGCAGGAGCAGCCTCCGTCGCACGAGACGCGGACGCGGCCCATGTGCTCGTAGCTGCGCAGGTAGCCCAGCCACAGCACCTTTGGGCTGCGAGCCGCGGCGCCGCCCGCGGGGAAGGGTAGGCAGAGGGAGAGGCTGTCGCCGGGCTGGGACGCAACGTACCCGAGCTTGCCGGGCCCCCTGCCTTCGTCCGTCAGCTCGAAGCCCTGCGCCGACGCGACGAAGCGCGGCAGCTGCGACCCCCGCGCACAGACGCTCGCAGCAGACTCGCGCCCGCTCTCGCCGTGCAGCGGGCCCGCCAGCGCAGCCGGCGCCCTCCGGCACTTGTGAGGGTGGCCTCGTGCCGGCGGCGCTTGCGTGAGCGCCGGCGGAGAGAGCAGACGGTGGAGGAGGAGCTGGGCGAGGTAGGTGTGCCCTTCTCCGGCAGGGTGCTTGCAGTCCCGCATGAAGGCCGGGATAGAGAGAGCGCCCGAGCGCACGGCGCCAAGCAGCGCGCCGCGCATCGACACGAGCGGCACGTTGTAGTGGCGGCACAAGTCTGCGATCGCGTCCTCGTCCGAGTTGATCTCGTCGCGCTGGCCGGCGCTGCCCCAAGACTGCGCCGCCCGCTGCGTGGCGTTGGCGGCCATGTCGACCGGCCACTTGCTGTTCCAGCACTTGTCGGTCCGCCCGTCCTGGGGCCGGACGGCCCTCCACCTGTGAGCGTTGACGACGACGAGGGCGGGCGCGTGGGGCAGCAGCAGGAGAGTGCGGAGGAGGCGCTCGAACGAGGCGGGGTTCCGGTCCGTGTTGACGGCGTACTCGACGAGGAGCAGGTCGGCGCGCCTCGGCATGTGATCGTGGACGCAGTGTTCCATGTAGGTCGGGCCGGTGCCGGGCACGCCGCCGTTGCTGAGCGAGTGGCCGTTGCGGACGGGGTGGATCGCGTCGAGCGCGGCGAGGAGCTTGTGGTGGTAGAGGTGCGTGGCGCCGGACCGGACCGCATAGTTGCTGCCTGCGGTGATGGAGCCTCCGATGGCGCCGATGCTGACCGGCGTTCGCCGAGCGAGAGCAGCGCGCACGCACGCCAGGCGGTCGTCCGCGCCGGCGAGCTCGACGCCGGAGTCCAGCTGCGACGCGTTGAGCAGGGACTCCGACTGAGGCCAGAGCGAGCGCAGCAGCTGTATGTCGACATTCCCGGCGGTGTGTCTCGTCGAGCCGCCAGTGCTTCGCTGGCTGGCCTCGTCGAGGCCGGCGGCGGCTACAAGCAAGCAGTGGAGCGCTGGCATCCACTGTAGGACGGCCCACGTGTGGCCCACGTTTTATGGGCAAGGCGGAAGAGCGGCTCGCGGCGGGCGGCTGATCGGAAAGAATTCGCGCCACGTCAAAATCACTGATAGAACCGACCGCCCTAAATGATCGGAGTGGGAGTCAGAAATGTGGTCCTTGCGCGAGGGGAGCTCGATAGACTCGAGGGGCCAGGATACGCCGCGAGGAGGACGGAGTTGCGCCGACAGGCGAAAGAAGCCGCGAGAACAAGGGACCGGCAGGCGGCGGCGTCGCAGGACGGGGCAGAAGAGAACAACGCGACAGAGGAGGAAGTGACAAGGGAGAGAACGACGAGGGTGGGACGACCGCGTGGTGGCATGAAGGTTGCAGCGAGAATCAGCGAGAGACTGCGAAGAGAGATAGGAAGAGGCAGACTCCCTAGGGTGGGCGACGGATAGCGCACCACACACCTCTCCTTAAAATCCCTGTGTGGTGGCGGCGTGCCGTCCTCCCATCCCTCCCTTGGGTTGTCTGTTTTCTTTCTTTTCTTTCTTTTAGAACCGACCGCCCTTGCCCCACGCAAGCCATCTTTCTTTCATCTTTGTGTTTCGGTCTCATCCATCGAAGGGAAGAAACAAAATGTGCGCGGCGATCTGCTCCGTGTGTGTGTGAGTGAGTATTTATTCTTGATACGAAACCATGACGAGGGTGTGTGTGTGTGAGAGAGAGAGATTTTTAGCAATACCCAGTTTGTTGTTGTTGTTGTTGTTGTTGTTGTTGTTGTTGTTGTTGTTGTTGTTGTTGTTGTTGTTGTGTGTGTGTGTGTGTGTGTGTGTGTGTGTGTGTGTGTGTGCTGAGCCCTGGCTGTCAGGCTGTCAGGCTGTCAGGTGCTGTCAGGTGATCTGTCGGTCTGTCGGGCAGCTGTCAGGCACTGTCAGGTGCCTCTGTCAGACCAGCTGTCAGGTGCTGTCAGTGCTGTCGGGTGCTGTCGGGTGCGTGTCTGACAGGCGAGGGGATCTGTAGCTGTCGGGTGCTGTCGGAGCTGTCGGGTGTTGCTGTCAGACGCTGTCGGAGCTGTCAGAGCTGTCAGGCTGCTGCTGCTGTCAGACGTTGGGCTGTTGCTGTCAGGTGCTGTCAGGTGTGCTGTCGGGGTGCTGTCAGGCTCTGACACACACCAGCCACACTTATGACACTATCAATAGGAGACCAGCAGGACTCTACTACACATACTCTAGCCTCTACTCTGCCTCCGGTCCCACCATCTTTTTCATGGTGGACGTCACCATCTTCTTGTCTGCCGCACTGAGGGAATAGCAGAGAGGCAGGGTGGAGTGCTTCTTCAGGTACACCTTGCTGATGATCTGGTAGTTGCTGGTCCAGCGGAAGGCCTCCCCATTGTTGTCGCTCGTCAGCTTGTAGTACTTGCATGGTGACTCGGCTTCCTACCTCTCCTTTGCAGCGCCCAACGAGTCTGTGGAGAAGGTGCGTGGGCGCCACACTCCTCTTCATCACCCTCCCGCCCACACCCACTGGCTTCCCTCTCGCAGGGGGTGAAGAAGCTCGACCGCCACTTCGGCTACTACCAATGCTCCTTGTGCGGCAAGAAGAAGGGCGCGCTCTACGGGGAGACTGGCGCGATCGGCTCGAACTGCTCCAACGTGCTGCGCCACACTGCCGGCGAGTCGCACCTCCGCGCGTGGCTCGCCGACCTGCCGGTGGAAGCGGAGAAGCCGACGCTGGCCGAGCTGCAAACGTGCGTTCTCCTCGTCGTGTGTCCATCAATACCCGCACGCGGGGCACTCACCCTCCTCTCGCGGCGGTCACAGGTCGTGTCGATCGCGCACAAGTGGCTCGGCAGCGCCCGCTTACAGCGCACCACGCAGACCAAGGTGCGGGGGCAGCACAAGGCGCAGAAGATTGCGACCAACGCGGCGGTCGACGCCGCCGTGGCCGCTGGCCGGGCGGCGGCGGGGGCGCTGACGCCGATGACGCCGAGCATGTCACACAACAAGCACTGGACGAAGCAGAAGCTCGCCGAAGCGAGAGCCACATGGGTGCGGCCGAATGACGAGAAGACAGTCGTCACGTTGTGCACCGGAAGCAGGTGCCGCAAACCACTTCTCCCGACAGCGGAGCAGCTCGAGCGGATGCAAGAGCACAGTCTGACGATCAAGCAGGAGAGCG